TAAAAAAAAAATTAATTTAAATGACAATCGATAGGTGAAAAAAAAAAGTAGGAAAATTTAAATAAATAAATAAATTTTTCATCGGTGTCATTTTTTTTTTCGTTTGTTTGTTTGTTGAGTTTGTTGTTGTTGTTATTGTTACGCGTCTTGCATAACTTTTTTATTTTCGAGTAATTTTAAAAAGTGTAAAATAATTTGGATTTTTAACACTCGTGTCTTTTTAATTTATTTCGTGTGGGGAGAGGCAAATTTTTTGTCGTGAGAGTTAATATCCGGTTTTTTTTTTCTTTTTCCTTTTCCGCTTTTCCAACCTGCGTTTTATTTTTATTTTCTTATTCTTATTCTTTCCTTTTTTTCGACGTTCACCTTAAACTTTTTTTTTTTTATTTTATGTACGCATACATAAATTTATTTTTTGTTCTGATGACAATAAAGAAGAAAAATATTCTTTCGAATGTAAAATTTACGATTGGAATTTTCTTATTCGTTTTTCTTTCTTTTCTTTTATTATAAAAATAAGAAAAGAAAAGAAGAAATTCGGCGGGTGGTGATTTTTTTTTTTGGGGGGGGGGAAGACGGTTTGGACGGAAAACGAATTTTCTATATTTTATTATTAGTCTTCAGTCTTTTCGACCCCCTTCCCACTCCCCCCACTTCCTTTTCGTCGGTTATGAATGAACTAACATAAAAATAAAAATGAAAAATGTCGGATTTACAAAAAAAAAAAAAATTTTTTTTTTTTATACAAACGTTCAAAAATAACCAATTAAAATTTACATGTAATTTAAATGAAGTCGGTTAACCGTCGGTAAACTCTTGTCTGCTCCCCACCACTTTCTCCCCTCCCCTCCAACTCTCTCAACGGAAAAAAGGTTATTAAAGTTTTTTTTGTTATAATAAATAAACGAAATTATTTGTTTACATGTATGTATGCATTTAAAAAAAAAAAAAAATTACATAATCTCATTTAGTGTCGAATGTTTACCCTTATTCAAATTTTAAATTCTATTTTCCTATTTTATTATGTTTTTCTTGTTTATTATTATCGTTTATAAGGTTTGTCTCCGAGCGGCCATATTTGGAAAATTTTAATAATTGTTTTTTTTTTTTTATAATTAACGTTTTTCGACGATTTGTAGATTGTCAGAGGAATCGAAAAAAAATTTTTTTTGTTTCTTTTTTAGGGGAGGCGAGGGGGGTATGGGGGGTAAGTTTGAGATGAAAAAAATAATAATAATAATTGGGCACGGAAAGATACGAATGTTCTTCTTCTTATTTGAGAAAACGACGGTAAACTGAAAAATTATACGAAATGAGTTGTTGATAATTTTCACGCTTTGAAATTCCACCCTTAGCCGCGGTTGGAAAAAGAAGGAAGGAAAGAAAGAAAGAAGGGAGAGAGAGAGGGAAGGAAAACGTAAAAGGGTGAGAGGAAGGGGGGAAGCACGATTTCCATTAATGGAAAAAAAGGAAGGAAAAAAAAAAAAAAAGCTTTTTTCTCTTAAACTAAACTTCCAGTGCGTTTCGGTCGGGGTTGACGTTTGGAACGGTTTTCAGGTAAATTTTTCGTGTAATTCGGGGGGTTTTTTTATACGCTCGAATTAAAAACAAAAAATCAACTTTTCGGTTTTTTTCTGTTTCCGGTTTTGTTTTTAAAAAAATTTGCGTGTAAATTTTCCTTTTCTCCTTTTTTTTTTTTCTATCTTGTGATGATTACGTTTTTTTTTTTTTCGGTTGGTTTTTTCGCGTGTGTGTGTGTAAAACTAAACACGGAGGCTGCGTGGAAAATTCATTCAGGAAATTTATTTTTCACAAGATGGCGAACCGTCGGAAAATTATTATTATTATTATTATTATTATTTATTTACTACGTCGTCGTCTCTTAACATTTTTGTTTTGCTTTTAAATTCTTTTTCTTCTGCTTGTTTTTCGCAAAATTAGGATTGATTATTTAACGTGTCGTTAGTGTTTAAACAAAAAAATTTTCCCTCGTATTTCGTTGATTTTCTTTTTTCTTTTCCGGTTCCATATGTTTCTTCGACTATCGATCGATCAGTGGTAAAATGAAGAAGAAATTAAATCGTATCGTGCGTAAATGTGTGTGTGTGTGTGCGTGTATGTGTCGAACCGTTTGTTTCTATCCTTTTTTTATATATATTTTTCTACGGGTAAGCGTAGAATTTTTGTTTTTGTTTTAAAAACAAAATAAATTTTACACGCGCGCACACGCACACGCATACACGAGTAAAACAATAAACGTGAAATACGAAGGGGGATGAAAATGAAAATGAGACGGAAGAAAAAAAAAAGGGGGTGTGTTTTTTACAGTTGTTTTGATATGGTCGAAGGAATATACACGCTCTCGTGAGGGGGGAGGGGTTCGTATGGTATAATTACGACCGTTAATTACTCCGGATGAAACAAAAGTAAAAAGTTTGATGGTAAAGATTAATAAGAGGGGTGAAAAAGGAGTAAAAAAAAAAAAAATCAGGGTCGGATCAAGCAAAGTCGTTTCGATTAAGAGGGAAAAAAAATTATTATTTCTACTTTTTTTTTTTTTTTTTTTTTTTTTTTAAATAAGGAGCTACTGCTGTAATTATTTTTGTGACGTCATCATTTACAACACAAATTGAGTTAGTCGCTTACAGAATTTTACATAAACATGGTGGAGTAAAGGAAAAACAAGGAAAATTCCTGTTGTTTTTGCGTTTAAATTATAAAAAAAATATCAAAACCAATCATCAAAGTTTTTTTTTCTCTCTTTCTTTCTCTCTCTCTCTCTTTTAATAACCGTTATTAATTTTTATACTTCGGCTTAACTTTTTTTTTTTTTTTAAATAAAAAGTAAAAAAAGAAAAAGAAAATGACCATTTTTTATCGGGGGGGGGTAATCAGAAAAAGTTGTTAGTTGGTTGTTTAACACGAGCACACGTGCATGCGTGCGTGCGTGAATGCGTTCGTCCGAACGTAAATAAATTAAAAAAAGTTCCAGGTCGATCGTGTGGGATTAAATTTCGAGAGGAGGGGGTAAGAGAGGGGAGGGGAGAGTGATATATATAAATATCGTATCTTTTAATATTTTATAACTTGGAAAATAATTTTGAAAAGAAGAAAATTTTACAAATCGTGAAGGGAAAAAAAAAAAAAAAAAAAAAAAAAAACCTTTTAAAAAAATAAGAAATAATAAAACGTTCGCTTGAGTGGACTGGAGAAAGAGAGAGAGAGAGAGAGAAAACATGACGGGAAAACATGTTTTCTTTTTTTTTTATTAGGAAGGTTTTTCCCCGTCTGTGTTTTTTGTGGCGTGTCTGTGTGTATGTTTGGGTTTAGTTTTCTTAACGGTTCAATCGAAAGTATCGAAAATGTTTTTTTATGTAAATAAAATGTAATGACGAAAACTTTAATAAAAAAATTTTTTTATCGTAAAAGGAAACAAAGGAACGTTCGAGAAGTTTGACTATTCAAAAAAACAATTTTCAATTCGCGAAATGACGTCGTCGTTTAATTTTACGCCCCCTCTCCACCCCGCAACTTTATTTCTCAGTCAGTAAAGAAATGAAAAGAAAAACAAGAGAGAGGGAGAGAGAGAAAGAAAGAGAGGTCGATTTTATTAAATTTTCTTTAAAATAATCAGACGACCATTCATTCGGTCACGAAGTACGACATGTAAAATTACAAAACAGCCATAAATTCCAGGTCCAGGAAAAGGAAAATTTAAAGATTCATTCAAAGGAAAAAAAAAAAAAATTGTTTAACATAATTGAGAAACATGTTTTTTTTTTTCATTTATTTTCTTTACCTTTTTTCCCCCATTTTCAAGTTTTGTAGCTTCGAAATACCGTATCGAAGCCAAAGGAAAAAAGGAAAGAAAAAAAAAATTCGTCAATGGAAATTAATTTGATCGAGTTTGATTACATTAAAGTACGAATTTATTTCGTTTTTTCTATTTATATATAAATAAATGTGAATTTCTGTGTCGTTTCGAAACGATTAAAAGTAATCTCGATTGATCGATTGATCGATCGATTAATCGATTAAATATCGATTTAAATTCCAATCAAATCATTCACATAATTATAAAATGTTTTGTTTGCCTTTAGGACGAGAATATAAAGTTTGTTTTAATTTTTTTTTTTATAATTTTTTCGTAGTTCTTCGACCTCGTTAAATAACCGAAAAATTTCCGTGTTTTTGTTTAAAAAAAAAAAAGAGAAAATGTGCAAGTTTTTAAAAATGAGAAAAGTGAGAGAGAGAGAGAGAGAGAAAAGATTTGTAAACATGGAGTTATAAATAAAATTAATTGATGGCATAAATTAATATTTAATTAGTTTAATCTTTAAACACTCCATGTTTATTATCAACGGTTAAACGATTTTAAATGTGGGAAAACGTTAAAAAAAAAAAAAAAATTTTTTCCGCTCATTCCGGTGTGTTTTTCTCGTTTATTATTATTATTATTATCATCATCATCATCATTATCATCAACAACAACATTTTTTTTTTAAGTTAATCGAAATGAATTTTTTTTTCATTTAAAAATTGTACAAAAAAAAAAATTATCGAGTTTCAGAGTAATAAAAAAAAAACAATTTTTTTCATCCCTTAACTTTTAGTTAAAGAAACTCTCTCTCTCTCTCTCGAATTGCCGGGAAACTGTTTTTTTTTCTTTCCGGTAGGAAATAACTTTAAGAGTAAAACTTAAAAGCTTAAAAAAAAAAAAAAAAATAGAAAACTCTTAAGACTAAAAATGTTGAAATCAACCCTTCACGTTTAACACCCCGAAACGTTTCACTTTCACTTAAGAATGCCATTAGCACTGAAATATGCGAATTTGGAGCTTTTATCAATTTAAACGGATCACGGGGACTGAAAGGAATGGAAAATGGAAAAAAAAAGGGAAAAAGGTTTTCTTTTTTTTTTTCCTTTTCGGACGAGTCCGAAAAAAAAACGTTTCGATTCGTTTCCGGTAAAATTAAAATTAAAATTAATTTTAAAAAAACATGGATAAATTACATCATGATCAAGTTGGCAACGTTGCATGTTACGATTTTGTTCACGTTTCCGGTTTCGAATCGGAAAAGGTTTTCCGAACAATGGCCGACTCTCGGAAATAACGTAATACTTTAGTTAAATTGTCGACTGTAGTTTGTAGTTTTTTTTTTTTTTTATGTATTTTTTTTTGCAATTTGAATCGAAACGTTAAATTTTTTTTTTTTTATACTTCCCGTCTGTCTTTTTTTCTCTCTTTCTCTCTCTTTGTTTCTCTCTCTCTCTCTCTCTCTCTCTCTCTTCGGTCGTTTAATAAATAAAAAAAAAAAATTAGATTTTTTTTGCTTTGCAACAATTCACACAATTGAAAAAAATTATTTCATTATTTTAATTTTGCGGTTGACATTTAGTTAAATTGGTGACAAAACTAATAATAATAATAATAATGAAAACGTTTGTTTTTATTATTATTATTATTATTATTATTATTATTATTATTATTATTATTATTACATTAATGAACAGTAACGCCTTCTCCCTTTGCGTTAAAAAAAAAAAATTGGAAAATCTATGTCGGTGAAAATAAAAAGGAAATAAACAAGATTTATTATGCTTTCCACGTGTTAACGTCCAAATCGTTTCTCTCTCTCTCTCTCTCTCTCTCTGTAAGCGTTGGAATTTAATAGGTTTTTTTTTTTTTGTTAATTTCGCCGCGGACAAAATTAACGTTTTAAATCGATAGCATTTTTATTCTATTTGATTTTTTTTTTTTTTTTTTTTTTTTTACGACGAGGACGTTTACACGTCAAAATAAATTCATGAGAGAAAGAGAAAGAGACAGAAAGAGAGAGAAATGGAAGAAAAAAGAAAGAAGCGTTTAAAAATGCAAAAAAAAATTTTTTTTAATTTACGCCGCGTACCGTTTATACCTTTTGTAATTTTTCACGCAAAAGATTGAGAAAGAAAAACATAAAAAAAATTTGCAAACAAATTTTGCTGTTGTAAAAATGATAATGATGATAATAATGACGACGATGACGATGTGTTTAACATCTTTAAAGCAGACGATAAAATTCGTTAATGAAAACTCATAATTGCGAGTTAAAAATTGTAAGTGCAAACACAAAAAAAAAAAAAAAGAAGAAAAATTTTGATTCGATTTGTCTGTGTGTGTATGTGTGTGTGCGTGAATGTGTTTGTTCGTTCGTTTGTTTGTTTGTTTGTTGCGTGTGAATTAAACGTGCACGAAATAAATTAAAGGTAAAATAAAAAGGAAATAATAGTTCAGGTTTAGTCGATTTTGTTTGTGTTGTTGTTTCAATTTGAAATTTTTTTCCGTTTTTTTTTTTCGATGGGATTTTGAGTTTTATTATTTTTAAATTTTCGTGTTCGAGTTTTTAAACGGGGGGGGGCGTGGGGGGAGGGGAAACATTTCGTTACATCTTCTTTCTTTTTTCTTTGAGTATTGTCGTTTTATTATTTGTTTTTTTTTCTCGTTTGTATTTAAAAAGTCGATTTCGATATTCGCTTTTTTTTCTTTTTTTTTTTCTGTTTCTCTCTTTCTTTCTTTCTCTTTTTGTCTCTCTCTTTTTCTCTCTCGCATTTCTTTATTCGTTTAATGGACGATGCTGGAAAAAAAAGAGAGAGAGGAAGTTGTTTAAAATTTATTTTTATTTTTTATTACTTCGCGTTGTCTTTAATTACTCCCTGTGTGTATGTCTCTCTCTCTCACTCTCTCTCTCTCTCTCTCTTTCTCTCTCTCTCTTTCTATCACTCGTATTTTGTTTGTCTGTCGTATTTTTCATTATTAATATGATTGAATGGAAAGTAAATTAATAATTTTATTAATTAATAATTATTTTCTTCTGTTGGAGATTTTATAAGGGGAGAGAGAGAGAGAGAGGCGGTAGTGGTAGGGAAGGGGGGCGAATTTGTTTTTCGAAAATGTTTTGAATCTTTAATAATTTTATGTAGAAGAACGTTTCGAACGTGATGTTTTTTTTTTTTTTTTTTTTTTGAAAAAATAAAGTAAAAAATTACTCGATAAGAGAACTTGTAAATCAAACGGTTACTTTTCAAAGCAGAAGAAAAAGAAGAAGAAGGAAGAGGAGGAGTAGGAGGGGGGGAAAAATTCGTCATTTAAAATTAATTTATCTATTGTATACAATAAGAAAAAAAATCACAAACGCCATCAGTGGGAGCCGTAGAACTTGGCCTGGGCGGAACAGCCGTCAAGGCTTCCGCCAAAGGCCTTTTTCCTTTTTCGGTAATAATAATAATAATAGTAATAATAATAGACATCAAGTGACGCGATCCTTAGAAGATGCTAGATTTATACAAATTAATTTTCGTCTAATCGCTGAAATATACAGTTTCGAATTGGTGAGTTTTTCTTTTTTTTTTTTTTTTTTGTACGGGGGCGTCGGATTTTTCGCAATGTAAAACATTCATTATATAATTACACGTCATTTTTTCCAATTATTCATTTATTAATTTGTTGTTTTTTCTTTTTTTTAAAAATAGGATCTTCAGTCAGAGATAGAAAGTCACCGAGATGTGTTCAGTTCGCTCAACGGTGCGGGAAAAAAATTACTCGGATCTCTCGCGTCCCAAGATGATGCCGTCATGTTGCAAAGGAGGCTGGACGAAATGAATCAAAGATGGCATCATTTGAAAGACAAAAGCATGGCAATAAGGTAAAAATTAAAATCCTTATTATTATTATTATTTTAATTTTTTATTTGCTTTAATATTAGCTGAAGAAAGGGGGAAAAATGAACGCCTTTATTTTAATACTCGAATAAGAAAGAGATTTAATAAAAATAAATAATAAAAATTTTGCGGTTAGAAAAAAGAACGAGGAAAGGGTTTATTATTATTATTATTATTTTTCAAGCATAATGTTTTAATCCAGGTTAATCCGTTTAATTCCCCACTTTTAAGTTTCTATTTAAAGTATTTAATCTGTTGTTGTTATTATTATTATTACGAAAAAAAGGGGGGAAGAGGGAAAAAAACAAACAAAAAAAATTAATTAATCAAAAACCTCTCTCCCTTTTTTTTTTGTTTAAATGGTACGAACGCGTAATCCATGTAAATAATAATAATAATAGTGTCAATTTAAATATTGATAAAATTCCGACATTTTTCTCTCTCTCTCTCACTACATTTAACAACAACGTGCGACAAAATTCCCTGTCGTCGTCGTCGTCTCCATCTCCATTTTTTTTTTTTTTTTTTGGTTAAAGTTAAAATAAGATGTTACACGAAGATGCTTTTTGTTTTTTTAAAACATTTGAGAATTTTCAAAAAAAATTGTATATGCGTACATATAAAAAAAAAACGGAAACGGAAATGGCGGCGGCGACGGTGACGACGAAAAAAATTATTACGCTTTCGATAATTTTACAAGACGAAATTTTTTTATTTATTTTTTTTTGTTTGGCGGTTTGGCGGTTTTCTTTAAGGTTTGTGAGTGATGATGTCATCATCATCATCATCATCGCCACGTCTAACAATCGGAGTTTTTGGCGGTTTCCGTAAAAAAAAAAAACATCAAAAATCAATTTTTCAATTGTTTTTCTTTTTTTTTATGTGTCTTTTTTAAAAAAAAAGAAAGATTCGTTTGAAAAATGGCGGAACGGGAGGATGAGGGGGAAACAACGAGACGTACCTAAATCAAAATTGACAGATAATTTTAGAGTAGGAAGCAAAAAAAAAAAAAAAAAATTTTTTTTTTTTTTGTTTTGATATTATTTGGCTTCGATTTCGTACGTGGAAAAAAAAGAAAAAAAAAAAAAGAAGAAAAATGTCAATATCAGTTTCAAGTTTTCCGCTTCAAATTTTCATTTGTTTTATTACATTTTTATATACATATATATTATTTATATGAGTTTTTATATTAACGGACGGTAAAAAGTTTTGCCGTGATTAAAAAATTTGAAAGGAGGAAAAGAGAGAGTGAAAGAGAGAGAGAATGAAAAAAGTTTAAATTTGATTTCATTTTAACGTTTTTTTCTTCTTTTCTTTTACAGAAATAGACTCGAAAGCAATACGGAACATTGGAACGCTTTACTGTTGTCTTTGCGCGAACTCATCGAATGGGTTATCAGAAAGGATACCGAGTTGACGGGTTTGGGACCCATCGGTGGGGATTTAGCATCTTTGCACAAGCAACAAGACGATCATCGAGCTTTTCGAAGGCAACTGGAAGAAAAACGTCCCGTTGTAGAAAGTAATTTGCTGAGTGGGAGACAGTACATAGCAAACGAACCCGCGCTTTCCGACACGAGCGACAGCGAAGGTAATTTTTTTTTTTTTTTTTTTCGTTTTGTTTTTTAAATTTCCGTTTCTTGTAAATTGTAAAATGGCGATTGCACGTCTCTCCCGTGATTGAGGTTAAATTATTTTATTTTAGCCGGACGAGAACTCGATGGAGATTCCAGAGGGTACAGATCGGCGGAAGAACAAGCAAGAGAATTGACCCGGTGCATAAGACGAGAAGTTAACAAATTGTCTGAAAAATGGAACGCTTTGATCGATCGTTCTGATCAATGGCAGAGAAAATTGGACGACAGTCACGGAGTAAGTAACAAAAAAAAAAAAAATCGGGTTTTTTTGGAAAATTTGGGAGGGGAAATATTATGCCTTATGAGGATAAGAAATAGAATCCAAAAAAATTATTATCATTATTAATACGAACCCGTTAATTGTTTTTTTGTTTGTGCAGAAAATGCGAATTCTCGTTAAGGGAATCGAAGATGTTTCAACTCGTATATCAGCATTGGAATCATCCAAAGCCCAATGGATAATACCTTCGGAAGCATCTCAAGCTCCCGAACTATTGGCATCTCTTCGACAATACGGTGAAAATTTAACACCTCTGGCACGGATCGTCGACGATCTCAATGATCAATCAGCATTGCTGTCGGCTAGCAACGTTTTAGTCGCACATTCGACAAGAACCAGGCTTGATGATATTAATATGAGGTTGGTATGACAAAAAAAAATTTCTCTGTGACGCCTGAAAAAGTTTTCATTTCTAACTAAATAAATTGTTAATCAGATGGAAGCTTCTTCAGTTGGCAGTAGATGAAAGGTATAAATTACTATCGGAATTTGGAAGAGATGGAGGCTTGGGTTTATTATCTGCTTCGGTGGAATCACCTTGGGAACGTGCCACCACGGCTACCAAAGTGCCTTATTATATCAAGTAATTAATACCGATTTCCGGTTGTTTTGCGTTTTTTTTTTTTTTGCAATTTAAATTTTAAAAACTAATCTTTTCTTTCTCTCTCTCTCTCTCTTCCTATGCAGTCACGAACAGGAAACGACGCATTGGGACCATCCGAAAATGCTTGAATTGATGACTTCCTTGTCTGAATTAAACGAAATAAGATTTTCGGCCTACAGGACAGCAATGAAACTTAGAGCCGTGCAAAAAAGATTATGTCGTGAGTTTTTTTTTTTTTTCTTTTTTTTTTTTTACGGGATTTAAAAAATTTTGGAATTAAATCAATGTAAGTTTTTTTTTTTTTGTTGTCAATCTTCTTCAGTGGACATGATTCCTTTATCGGCTGCTTTAGAAGCTTTCGACAACCACGGTTTACGGGCTCAAAATGATAAATTACTCGACGTTCCTGACATGGTGACCGTTTTACGTTCCATGTATGAAAAATCAAACGATAAAAGTGAAAAATTAAATTTACCTTTGGTTCTTGATCTCGTTATTAATTGGCTTTTGAATGTTTACGATAGTCAAAGGACTGGACAAATTCGTGTTTTATCATTTAAAGTTGGAATCGTTCTTCTTTCCAAAGGTCATCTAGAAGAAAAATACAGATGTGAGGTTTTTTTTCTTTTTTTTTTTTTTTTTTAATCACATCGCGTGAAACAATAAAAATTAATTTTCTATTTCCTCCGTTCAGATTTATTCAGGTTGATTGCTGATCCGTCGAGAATGGCCGATCAACGAAAATTAGGATTGCTGTTGCACGATTGCGTACAATTACCTCGAAATTTGGGTGAAGTGGCAGCTTTCGGGGGTTCGAATATCGAACCCTCCGTGAGATCCTGTTTCGGACCGGATAAAGAACAAATCGAAGCCGTTCATTTTCTTAGTTGGGTTCAACAGGAACCACAGAGTTTAGTTTGGCTTCCTGTTCTTCATCGTTTGGCAGCTGCCGAAGGAGCTCGACACCAAGCGAAGTGTAACATTTGCAAAGATTATCCGATTTTGGGTTTCAGGTAAAAATTCGTTTTAGAGTCCTCATTTGTATTTTATTAAAAAATATTGGCACGCGATTATAATTTTTTGGCTTATTAACGGTTTCAGGTATCGATGTCTCAAATGTTTTAATTTCGACATGTGTCAGAATTGTTTTTTCTCTGGTAGAAAAGCTAAAAATCACAAATTGAATCATCCGATGCAAGAATATTGCACTACGGTAATTAATTATTTTTTCTTTTTATTCTTTTACCTTTTTAACGTTTTTTTACTTATTAGTTTTTTTTCTTCCTGCAGACAACTTCCGGTGAAGACGTACGAGATTTCACGAGAGCATTGAGAAATAAATTCAAATCAAAAAGATATTTCAAAAAACATCCGAGAGTCGGATATTTACCCGTTCAAACGGTTTTGGAAGGGGATGCTTTGGAATCTCCAGCTCCTTCGCCTCAACATTCGATGCTTCCGCACCAAGAAATGCATTCAAGGTTGGAATTGTTTGCTTCGCATTTGGCCGAAGTCGAACATAGAAAAAGAAGCAATTCCACACCTGATTCGTAAGAATTTCATTTAAAAAAAAAGGAAAAATTTACCGCGATGAGTAGATTTGGATTTGAACTCACTTTTCATCACCATCGATCATAAATCATTATCGAAATTTGCTTTCAGAAAAAAAAAAAAAAAATTATTTTTTTAAAATGTTTCAGGGAAGACGAACATCAGTTGATAGCTCAATATTGTCAATCCCTCAATGGAAGAATCGGTGATTCTTCTGTCCCGAGGAGTCCCGTTCAAGTCATGGTCGCCATTGATCAAGATCAACGAGAAGAATTAGAAGCGATGATAAGGTTTGTTGTTGAAACGTTTTGATTCCGCGAGTTTTCGCGAAAGAAAATTTTAAAATGACAAAATACCCTCCGCAGGGAACTGGAAGAAGAAAATGCGACTCTTCAAGCCGAATACGAAAGGTTAAGATCGAAACAAACGCCCGGATCGACTCCAGAAGAAATTAATTTAAGCGGAAACGATATGATTGCCGAAGCCAAGTTATTAAGAGAGCATAAAGGAAGGCTGGAAGCTAGAATGCAAATACTGGAAGATCACAATCGTCAATTGGAAGCTCAATTACAAAGATTACGACAATTACTCGACGAGGTAAACATTTTATACCAAATTCCAGCAATTTCACTCGAAAATCACTTGTTTTGGAAAAACAATTTTTTTTTAATTTTCAGCCGTCAAACAATTCACCTTCCAAAACTGGAACATTACAAACTCGATCCGTGACGGCATCCCAATTGGCCACGGATTCTCCAGCCAAAGTAAACGGACATTCAAACGGACCCGGAGGTAAAATAATAATACTCGTACATAAAAAAAAAAAAATTTGAAACGAAATAAAATAAATTATTAGTCATTATTAAGTTAAAAATAATCGAAAATTCCTACCTGTTTATATGTAATTGAATTTATTATTATTATTATTATTTACAAGTGTAATAAATTTTTATTTTATTCATTCATTCAAGGGGGGAAATGGGAGCGGCCTTTACCGCCTCCCCCCCCGAATGGTCACATGCCTACATCTGGTTCGGCTCACAATGTTGGAAATTTGCTTCATATGGCAGGTGCGCTTTGTTCTCTCTCTTTCTCTTTCTATCTCTCTTTTTCTCTCTCTCTTTTTTTTTCCATCTCGTGCTTGACTACCCGCCCGCATTTAATTTAACATTTTTATTTTATTTTACATAATGGTTTTCATTTTTTTTTCTCTCTTTCCCTTTTTTTTTTTTATTTATCATTATTATTATTTTCGATTCGAAATCCTTTACAAAAGGTTTTCATTTTTTTTACTTTTTTTTTAACCTTTTTATTTTTTCTATTTAAAAAGCTCGAAATTGAAAAACATGAAAAAAACAGTTTTTTTTTTTTTCGTAATTGCGTTTGTTTGTTGTCTGTTTGTTGTTGTTGTTGTTGTTCTTATTGCATCGATTTCTCTTAATTATACAATACGAATTAAATTAAATATTTAACCGACTAATATTTTATTTGTTTTTTTTTTTTTCTTTTTTTTTTCTTTTCTTTTCTTTTCTTTCTTCATCTGGAATTTACTAATCCGAAAGGTCGCATGTGATGATGATAATGATGATGATAATGATGAGGAAGAAGAAAGAAAATTTTTGTTAGTAAGTTAAAAAAAAATTTATTCTCGAATAATTTCGAGATGTCGTTTCAATTTAACGATTTTATTTATGTTTGTCAAAATGGAAGAAAAAAAAAAATTTTTTTTTTTTTAATTTCGTTTTTAATTTTTTTCTTGTTTTTTGATTCCAACAGGAGATGTTAGCAAAGCTGTTGGAAAATTAGTTAGCATTATATCGGCAGAAAGCGAAGAAGAAGAAGAAGATTCAAATCCGGAACCGTGAAAAAAAAAAGAAAAAAAAAAAAAATGAACTTTTAAACAAGATTAAGAATCGAAAACTAGAAAAATAATAATAATAATACACAAAAACTTTTTTTTTTTTTATTTTAACGACGTCGTCGATTACTTTTTTTTTTGTTTTGTTTGTTTGTTTGTTTGTTGTAAAAGTAAATTCAGACAATTCTATCAGTTAAAATGACGCATGTAAAAAAAAATAAATAATAATATTAATATTTTGAACCGTGAGTAATGATTTTAACATATCAAAAAAAAAAAAAATAACAGGAAAAATAATTTTAATCATATCTATATATATCACTTTTCTGCTGCTGTTATATTATAATAATAATAATAATAATGAAATAATTATTTCAACGAATCATTGTGTTTGTTGTTTGTTTGTTTGTTATAAAAAAACAAAAAATTATTATAAAACTTTTCGTTTTTCGTGCGTGGGATTTAAAATCAATTTATGGAAAATGAAATTTTTTTTTTTTTATATTATTATATTATAAAAATATGAAATGAAACCACGCACGCACAATCGAACGCACTTTTTACTTAATAATAATAATAATTAATTAATTATTTTTTTGTTATTTATTACTATTATTATTATTATTTGATTTATGACGATACAAAATTTGTCGTTTTTAATTAAAACATTTTTAATTATTTTATTATTATTTTTTCAAATTTATGTATTTATTTTAATTAATTAATTAATAAGTAATAATTCATATCGATGGAAAAGTTAATAAATAAATAAATAATTTAATTTTTTTTTTTATTATAATTTTTACATGTTTTTTGTTTTTACTGAATTTTATATAACGACTTCAATTTATACATATATAATAAAATAAGGAGAAATAATAATAATAAAAGTTATTATTTATATTATAATAATAATTAATAATTAATATAATAGTATATATAGTCTTTAGAGAGGAGAAGAATAAGAATAAGAAGAAAAATTAATTAATTTCTATAAACAAGTTTTCAATGACTTTTCTTTTTTTCATTTTTTTTTCTTTCTGCTTTTTTTATTAAATTCATTTTGAAAAAGGGAAAAAAGTTTTTTTTTTTTTTAAATTAATACAAGGAAGAAAAATCTTAACTTAATAATTAATAAATTAAATTAAATATTATGTAAATTAAATGAAATTGTAGTTTTTTTTTTTTTTTAATGTAGAAAAATGCAGCTATGTTAGTTGAAAGTTTTTTTTTATTATTATTATTATTACTAAACTTTTCTTTTTGCTTTTTATTTTACCCGCATATAATTTTTATGATTTTTCTTTTCTTTTTTTTAATATGTAATAAATGATCTCTTTTATTTAAAAAAATTATTCTTTATTCATGTAGTAAAAAAAAAAAAAAAAAAGAAAAAAAAAATTTTCTACTTTTTGTAATTGGCTTTACATATCAATGAGTATATGTATATCAAAATTTTTTTTATTATTAAAAAAATAATTATACTTTCCGATAATATAAATATCCGCACATATTCTCATCGTAAAAAAAACAAATTTCTTTTCTTTATTGAGTTTATTATATTATATTAACTAATAATTAATATAATTGATTATTTATTAAATTTTTTTTTTGTTCTCTCTCACCTCCATTATTACTCTTCTTTTTATTTACGTTTTTCATTATCGATTCGCGCTTTAAACGTACCATTAGAAAGGTTAACGAATTAATTTAAATTTTGGCGGGAAAAAAAGGTAGTCTATGCTGTCGGTTGATTGTTGTAAACCGTATATAAAGTTTTTATTTCGTTTTTTTTTATGTGATTTTCTGACTGTTCGGCATCACAAAAAGAAAAAGCAAAATTTAAATTTTATTTTTTTATTATATTTTTTTAAATGTTTCGAAAAAAAAACGGAGGAAAATTTTGGAGGGAGGGAAAAAAAATAATTACAGATGTTTACGTATTTACGGTTGTCATGGTAACGTAATTCAAACATTTAACGGAATTTAGAAATGGAGGGTGATGTGATTGATAGTAAAAATCATTTTTTAATATCAATTAACGGTCAAATATTTTCCGGTTGTTTTCCATATTTAAATGATTTATATTGTAAATATTCTTTTGTTTGCGGTTCAGATTGGATTGTTATTTCTGTAAGTAAATCAAATGATCATGAGGAAAAGGGGAAAAAAAATTTGTTGATTATTATACATTTTGCAAGTTGACACATAAAATTAAAATAATAGTTGATAAATAGTAATAATAATAATAATGCATGTCGATTAAAGTATATTTGAAAGAAAAATCATTAATTATTATTATTATTGTAAAGATTTAAACAAATGATGATTTGAAATTTGATAATTTTCTACTGTTGATACTGTATATGAATTTAACACAGTAAACACTTGTGCCACTCGTTGATAAATTTAATATTTATTTTTATTATTTGTATTATTCATGTTTTATTATTATTATTATTATTATTCATTTTTGTTGTTGTTGATATAATTTATAAAAAAGAAATTCTTTTTGTTCAGGTTTTGTTTTCTACATAAATTCCCCAATTAATGTTATTTTAATTGAAATCAAAATGATTTGAAGTTGTAATAAGAAATTTTTTTATTGTTTTAGGGTGTTGAAGAAGGAATATCTCAAATATCAAAAAAAGGAAAAGATGATGAAGAATTATTTGTTTGGAATTTACCATTGAGTATAATATTTAAAAGTACCAATCCTTTTGGATGTCAGTTGAACGTTTCTACCCTTTTCTTTTTTTTTTTTGGGGGGAGGGATAAATTATATAATTTATTAATATGTTTGTAGGGCCGCAATTGGTAATAAGTGCTTACGGATTAGATGTATTTGGTAATGAAGTTGTGAGAGGTTATGGAGTTTGTCACGTTCCATTTTCACCAGGACATTGTGAAAAAGTGTAAGTTTTGTATCATTATGTTCAAAAACTAATTTCATTTTATTTATATATATTTCTTTTTTTTTTTTTTTCAGTGTTCCAATGTTTGTTCCAGAATCAAGTTCGACATTACAAAAATTTACATCTTGGCTAACGGGTAGAAGACCAGAGTTTATCGACCCAAGAATATTAACACAAGGAGATGCCAGAGATGGTGTGTTTGTGACATTTTTCCTTATTTAACCCCGATTTTTCACTTTTTTTTTGTCTCTTATTTTAATAATTATTATTATCGTTTGAATGGTTTAGAAAAGGTTTTTAAAATTTCCATGAAATTTATTCTTAATCATCAAATTTATACGGAAAGGTAATTTAATTGTTTTAATCTATTTTTAGCGATGACTTTAATTTTTTTTTTTTTTTGTAGTGGCGACAGTTCGTTCACAAGGTTCCACTAAAGTTGTATTTGACGTCGCAATAAAAGGATTTCAATCGTTTGGATATCGTTCATCATAAACAAAAAGAAAACGAACTTTTATTCTTATTAACGAAGATTTCATTCTTGTTAAATTTTTTTTTTTTTTTTGAAAATAATAATATCTATAAAAGAAACAAAATAAAGATTTCTTTTGTATTCACAAAAAAATGCTTATTCATTCTCATATAAGACGTAAAATTTAGTTCGTTAAATTCACGATTGATGTCGCTTCGAAACCTCAATTCCAAGAATTTTAATAATTCACCTACAGGAAAAAATTATAACTAAAGTGTTTTTTTTTTTTTTTTTTAAAAAAAAAAGTATATATTCATTTCATTGATGTTTTTTTTTAAAGTTTTATTAATATTAAACATAAAGTAATTACTCTTTGAGAGTCCTTATTCTACATATTTAGTCAGGTACGCATTTATTTAATTGTTTTAAATAATTCATCCCACGGTAAAATGCTTTTTAAGTCGATTAATCAAGGTCGCTAGTAATAAACCAAATGGCCATTTTATTGAAGTTTTTGAAAATGTGTGTGCGTCTTGACATATTTTTTCATATAAAATCATTTTAATGTCGTTTATAAGAAAATTTTTCCCATTTGCAAATTCGTATAATCGTCAAATTAACATTGGAAACGCTAGAAACAGTAAGTTTTTAAATATTAATACATACATTCACACGTTCATTATTATAATATTTTAAATTGTCATTGATTATGGTTTCATTCATTCATTCATAAAGTTATATGTAATGAATTTCATTTTAATTTTTTTGAAAGCTTCAAAATTGCGTTTGAATATTATTATTAGTATTTGTCTCACACTCTTTGTTATCGTTTAAATATCGAAAATTATTTTTTTTATTAGTCAGTATTCACACACACACACACACAGAGATTATAATTTCCACAGGCTAAAAATTTACACAAATAAGATTATATGCATCAGTTTAAAATCTAATCGTTAAACAAGTGCACATTGTTTCAACTAAATTTTTTTTTTTTTTTTTGGTTTTATGTAAGTTTTTGAATTTCCTTTTGTATTTTTTTCCATTTTTTTTTTGAAAATTGATCAAGTTCATTGTACTTGAGCATTCTGATCAACTTATGTAAACAACAAAGTAGGTGTTAGTGAAAGTTTTATTAAAAAAAATTTTATTTTAAGGGAAATTTTTTTGTTTTGTTTTTGATTCACTCATTTTATGTGTTTTAATTTAAATGTGTTGATTTACATGAGTAAATTTTCAGGAGAGGGAGAGGGGGAGGGGAAAAAAAAAAGAAACATTAAAAGGAAAAAGAAAATCCTTGAAAATTGTTATGTTTGAATGATTTTAATTTGTTTTCGATTTTTATTGTTATTTTTATTTAAATATTCGGTATATTCTTTTATTTTGCAACCTAAATATCTATTTTTACAGAACTGATGTTGTATTTTATATATTATTTAGATAAAGTCATGTGTCAGTAACAATTTGGTAATTTTTTCTTTTGTCATTTTATTACTGTGAGCTGAATTACACATTTTCGAGACTAAAACATTATTACTCAGGCTTACTTACGACACAGAAAAATATTTTAAGTTTAAATAAATTTTGATAACATATTTAAGTATATTTTTTTTTTTTTTTTGATAAGTATTATCAGTAAGTCAAGAAGAAGAAGAAAAATTTTCTTTCGAATACAATATTTTTAAATATTACAATTGAAAAAAAAATTTTTTTTTTTTAAATTGAATTTATTTTGTCGATTTGCCATTTTGTTAATGTTACAAAAAAAAAGGAAACATTTTTATTAATTAAAAAAAATAAATTTAATAAATTTTATGGTTCTGGAATTTAAAAATGAGAGAGAGAGAGAGAGAGAGGGAAAAGGTTTTATTGCTTGGGTTCTTTTTATCTGTTAATACTATAAGAAAGAGGGAAGAACAAAAAAAAAGGAATGGAGGTGGATGGACTTGTTTCATCTTGTCCTGAAATTCTTTCAAATATTTTTTTTTTTTTTTTTTTTATTGAAAACGATTTGACGCGTCTGGAAGGCAGCGTTTTTGAATTTTTTTCTTCTTCTTCTTCACTTCTCAAGGGTGGTTTTTATTATTATTATTATTATTGTTATTATTATCAGTTTTTTTCTCTTTATAAATTTTTGGTTTAAAATGGATGTGAAAAAAGGTTTAAAATTTTTTTTTTTTTTGTTTTTTATTTTAACGGTTTTATTCATTTCAATGAAAGTGTGTGTTATGAATCCATAACAATTTTTATCGTTTTTTTTTTTTTGGATTGATTTTGCAGTTGTTTCAAAAATGGCACCAGTAACTGCAGCTAGTCATTCTGCGGAATCAAACGGAATCATAAGCACGGTTCTCAAAAAAAAAGAAAAGAAAGAAAGGACTTCTTCATACGTGTCGAAAAATTATAAAAAAGAATCGAAAAGATTAAAAACATTTACTCATTGGCCGGTGAGTTTTATTAATCCGAAGGACCTGGCCAAAAATGGATTTTATTTTACAAACGTTGATGATGTAGTGAAATGTGCTTTTTGTAAAACTCAAATCGGGTTTTGGGAAGAAGGAGACGATCCAAATAAGGATCATTTGAAATTGTCACCCATGTGTCCGTTTTTAAGAAATGAACCCTGTGGTAACGTACCTTTATCGGAAGAAGGGAACGATAGGAGAAGTCGTGGAAATAGTAACGACGAAAATGGCGACGACGACGACGATGACGATGACGATGAAGACGAAGACGAAGAACCAGAATCCCAAGATGTCTGCGGTACCGTCGTAATAAGGCCTTTCTCCGAACCCGAAAGATGTGAGTTTGCAATTGTATATTTTTTTTATTTTTTTTTTTCCGTTTAATGGCGAACGAAAATTTAATAAGTTTTTTTTTTTTTCTTTTCAGCTCACAGAAGTGCTTTTTCCATCGACTCGACAAATTTGTGGAAGGATTTCGAAGAATTGGGTGTCACGAAAATCTACGAACCCGTCGCTCCCAACTACGCAACCTACGCATCCAGAATCAAAACATTTGATAAATGGGAAGCTCACAACATTCAAAAACCGGAAAAATTAGCCGAAGCCGGGTTTTATTACATCGGACACGAGGACAACGTTATTTGTTTTCACTGCGGCGGTGGTTTAAAAGATTGGGAAAAGGATGAGGATCCGTGGGTGGAACACGCGAGATGGTTCAGCAAATGCAGATTCGTTTTCCTACAAAAAGGAAGGGATTTCATTAACGAAGTCGTTTTGCGGAAAAAAGCTTATTTGACAGCCGAGGTAATTGATTGATTGTGAGGAATATAGGGAGAGGGTAAAGGTCGCGATCACACGCGACTCGTCGGACACGATTTTCTCATGACACGTTTTTTTCGTCGTTTTCAGACTGCAAGAGAAATCATTAACAGATCGAAGAAACACGATTCCGCCGTTAAAAAGACAAATGAATCATCATCATCATCATCATCATCAACAGAGCAATCGCAGTCGGAAACGTCGTCGAGCGATGATGAAAAAGTTTTAGATGGTGGAAAATCGAAATCGATGGTTCCAAAAGTGGAAACAAAAGTGTTGTAAGTTAAATATTGATTGATTGGGTTTTTTGAAATAATGATGACGTACGTTATAGTAAAAATTTTTCTTTTTGTTGGGGGGGGGCGAGCAGGCCATCGGATGGAAAGGAAATACAATTGTGCATAGTTTGCTACTCTCGCGAAAGAGGAATTGTTTTTTTGCCTTGCGGACATTTTGTTTGTTGTCCACAGTGCACGTCGTCACTCACGAAATGCGCCGTTTGCAGAGAACCATTTAAAGCAACGGTTCGAGCTTATTTTTGCTAAAAAAAAAAAAAAAAAAAAATTTGATCTCTGGTGTAAAGAAGAAGAAGATGAAGAGGAAGAGAAAGAGAGAGAAAGAATTAAATTCGAATTCGTTTGTTTTTTTTTTGTTGTACACCGTCGGTTACTATTCGAACACAAAAACTTTTATTTTATTCTTGTACTCTTTCTTTTAACCTTTTAACCTTTTTAACTTTTTTTTTCTTTTTAACAATTTATTTTTTAGAATTAAACATTTTTTTTTTTTTTTTTTTTAAAAACTTTTTATTTTATACCGTAAATAAAACCAATCAGGCCGAGTCACGTGATTTGTAGTAAACAAAAACAAAACAAAAATTTTTTAATTTTAATTTTAATTTTAATTTTTAAAAAAAGTTTTTAAAAGTTTTATTTTATATAAACGGGAAGATCGTTTGTTTGTTTGTTTGTTTGTTTGTTTTTAAATGTCGGATAGCATGTCGGTAGCCTCGGTTGGAAACAACAACAACAACCAAGAATCTCAAAAGAAATTAAAAGTTACTACTAAAAACCATTTTAAAAATTTTAATTTTAATTATTATTATTATTATTATTATTATTTATACGTGGAAAAAAAAGAAAATTTTCACACGGTCGAGTAATTAGAATAAACGAGTTTTTCTTTGTCGTAATTATTATTATTATTATTATTCGCATAATCAGGGCCTTTTATTATTATTATTATTATTTATTCGAGATAATTAATTTTGTTTTTTTTTTCTTATATTTTTTTATATTTAAAAATTTTACAAAATTTTTACTAATAATTGTAGTTTCATCTCTCATCATCATCATCATCATAATCATCGTTACGTCATCGTCGTCGCGCTCCGTCATAATCATTATCATTATTATCATAACGGATTTTATTTTTTTTTTCCTTTTTTGCAAGTATTTACGAACTAAACATTCAAAGAGACTGCAAATAATAATTTAATTTTTTATTTTTTATTTTATTTTTAATTTTTAATTTTTTTGCTTTTATTTAATAAATAATTTTTATTATTATTATTATTTTTTAATATAAATAAATAAAAATTTCAAAAAAAAAATAAAAGAAGGAGAAAAGAAAAGATTCCACAATTTTATAAGATGTGAGGGAAAAAAATTGTGTAAATATTACGCTTATAATTAATTAATATATATATATATATATAAATATAAATATATTTTAGTTTTTTTATGTATATCACACGTAGGGGTGAATTAGATTTACTAAATGTAATTTTTTTTTAATTATTATTATTATCATTATCATTATTATTATTAATTATAATGAATGTAATATAAAATGTGAATTTAATAATTAAAATTTTTAATTATTTTTTTTTTTTTTTTTAGAATGTAAAGGAATATGTTTTTTAAGAAAAAAAAAAAAAAAGGATTTTAATTAAAAAAAAAACAAATTTAATAATAATAATATTTTATTTTTATTTTAATTTTTAATTCCGGAAATTACAAACAAAAGAAAAACGTTGAAGATTTCCATAAAGGCACACAACCGGAAATAATTTAATAAAACCGGAAATAAAACATGGAGAAAAATTTTTTAATTTCACGACAAAATTGCCGCAATGTAACGACTGTTCATTTTCAGTAAATTTTCTTTTTCTTTTTTTATTTCTTCTTCTTGAGTTTTTCCTTTGATTTTCTGGAAAAAATCATTCAATATTTTTTTACCCTCTTTTATTTCTTCTCCAGTCAAATGTTGTCCGTTTAAACTCAGTCCGGCTTTCTGATCCAATTTCAATAATTTTTCTCGAGCGTTCTGTGGAAAACACGTAAAAATTAATAAATAATTAATTCGTATAATAAATTAATTATTATTATTATTTTTTTCAGTACCTCGATGACGTGTTTTTGAAATCCGGCCATTTTGGCAATTTCTAAACCGAATGAACGATCGCTCGAACCTGGGCAAACTTTGTACAACATCGTTAATTCGTATTGATCCGTCATGGCCGTGACGTGAACGTTCGCCACCGAACTTATTTCGTCTTCTAATGAAACCAATTCTTGAAAATGTGTGGCGAATAATGTGAAAGCTTTTATGGTTGATGCCAAGTGTCTGGAAAAAATTTTTAAAGTTATCATCGAATAAATTCATAACTCGAATACCCCTACCGCGTGGTTCGGAGTTCCTCGGAGCTCGGAGGGGGGACAGCCTCCTCGTCCGAGGGGCCTCGTGTCGTTCCACCCCGGTGGAGCCTGAAATCGTTCGACGACGAGCGGCTCGCCGAGTGCCTCGCCGCGGAGACCTGGAGAGATGAAGTTGCTCTAGGCACGAGATGGCGCGGGGAGTCCAGGACGACTGACGGCGGTTCTCGGACTCCTGCTTGAAGAGGGTCGGTTAGCGTGCGAAGACGCAGAAACGGCCGAAGTACTGGGGGGTCGGACGAGATAGGAGAGATGTGGAAGGAGACTTGCCTCGCACGTCGCCGGTTCGTCGGCAGAAAGACTTTTGATCAAACGGGGAGGACTTTACGAGGACATCGTGAACGACGACGAACTCGCGCGTTTAGCGAGTCCCTCTATGCCACCTTTTAGCATAGAGGGCTTCAGGGGTTTGGGTTCACCGAGCGATATAAAGTTCCAAGGAGGCGTGTTGGAAGGAACTCCTGAGCAAAGTGGATTCGGATCCTTGGGGTCTTCCGTTCCGTCTCGTGACCAACAAGCTGAGGGGTTTGTCGGGACCGCTGACGGCCGGCATGACGGAGGAGTTTTTCGCTGAAGTGATCGCAGAGCTCTTCCCTCGTGTTTCGCGAGCCGTCCGCGTTTCCCCCGGCGGATTCCCTTACGACGAAAATCGTGACGCCGCGGTGACGAAGGGGGAGGTTCGCCTCCTCGGGTCCACGCCTCGGCTCCGGGCCCGAACGGCGTGCATTACCGCATTCTCGGCGAGTCCGCCGGGGTACTGTGTACGCGTCTCTCGGCGCTCTACACCGTGTGCTTCCGAGAGGCGACATTTCCGACACCGTGGAAGGAAGCGAACTTAGTGCTGGTAGACAAACCGGGTAGGGATCCGACGACGCCGAGCGCGTATCGGCCGATTTGTTTTCTCGACGTAAAGGGCAAGTTGCTCCAGCGCGTGATCGCGTCCAGGATAGACGAACACTTACAATTAGGGAGAGGGAGGAACGACCTCTCGTCGAATCATTACGGCTTCCTGGCGGGCCGTTCGACGACCGACTCACTCGACCGCGTGTGCGCCGGAATCCGGGACACTCTTCGCCGGGGTGACGTCGCGATTGTCGTCTCGGTCAACAACAAAAACGCGTTCAATTCGGTACCGTGGTTTGCGATAAGGGACGGACTGACGTCGAAATCCGTTTCAGACTACTTGACACCGATCATCGGTTCCTTCCCCTCGGAGAAGAAGATCGCGTACGAGAAACCGGACGGAACGACGGGAAGGACGGACGTGTTCTGCCCCAGGGATCGGTTCTAGGACCACTCCTGTGGAACATCGCCTACGACCTCGTCCTCACCCGGACCGTTCTTCACGAAGGCGTATCATTGACTTGTTACGCCGACGACACCTTGCTTCTCGCGGGTGGGCAGAGGTTCGCGAACGCGCCGAAACAAGACTTCACGCGACGGTGGAGGCCATCCGGACATCGGTCTCCGAGTGTCTCAGCCGAAGACGGAAGCGTGAGGGTTTCATCGTCCGCGAAACCCGCGTACTCGCGACATATCATTAAACGTAGACGACGTGAGAATCGGATTGGGGGGCACTCTCAAGTACTTAGGTGTGGTCCTCTACTACCGTCTTTGTTTCGGAAAGCATCGCGCGCTCCTCGGACCGAAGATCCGAGCCGTCAGCGCGACGTTAGGACGCCTGATGCCGAACGTGCGCGGACCACAGGCCAGAGTCAAGCGATTACACGCGACGGTCGTTCCTTCCGTGGCCCTGTCCGGAGCTCCGGTTCGGGCCAAGTCAGTTTCGGCAGCTCGGCCTCTTCACAAGAAGGCGATCCAACTCCAAAAGGCGTTTCTGAACAAGGTGGCGACGACGTACACAGACGTGGCGGCGGAGGTGGCTTGTCTTCTGTCAGGCGCTCCTCGGAGGCTCGACCTCCTAGGGATGAAGACACTCGTCCTCCATCGCGAACGGGGTCGCGGCGGATCGAGAACCGCTCGTCATCGCAGGGAACTTCCCACTCGTACGGTACCTGGCAGGCGCGGTTCAACGACGGAAAGAAACGGTACGGCGGGAAAATCGTAGACGCTCTCGGCGCCCGAGTGGGGACTGGGGCGGGGTCACGGAGTTCTGACCCATCGTCTCACTCAGGTCCTCACGGGTCACGGGGTGTTCGGCTCGTAATTGGCGCGCATCGGCAGAGAGGAGACGGTGGAGTGTTGGTTCTGCAGTGCGCCCGAGGACGACGGTCGCGAAATGTCCCGCGTAGAACAAGCACAGGCAGTGGCTGGTCGAGGTCATCGGACCCGACTTGTCAATCCGCGGTCTTGTGGACGGGTTGCTTCGCGGACCACGGGAATGGTCCTGCGGACGAAAGAGAACCGGGAACGAGAACGGGAAAAGTCCGGAGTACGCCGTCGTTTGCTCCGGACAACCAGAAGAAAAAGAAAAGACGAAGACGGTGGCAAAGAAGAAGAAGAAGATCGGCGACCCCGGTCGATCCTTCGTCTATCTTTTCCTCATCGATCCCGTTTTACCGTTAGTTAGTTGGAGGATGCGATCAACCAACACTTAACTTTTAACTTTACCCTTTTCAGGTGACGACGGTAAGTCTTTATTTCCCCACCCGATCGCATTTCCCATTCCTTTCCCCCCGTGCGAAGGACCGGAGGGCACTCCCGAAAGGGACCTGCCGAACGTCCTGGGGGATGCGTTCTCGTCTTCGAGGTGATGGCGGAACGGAGACTACGGCGGATCTCCCACCAATGTAAACGTGTGGAACGGTTAACGTTCTGGCTTCCCGGAGAGGGGACTGACTGAAATGTAGGTTTTACTCCAACGACCGCCCCCCCTCTGTATATAAGTCACGCTATTGCGACATGCTCAGGAGTTTTAGTGGGTATGGGTCCCCCGGTTAGGCTTTCAATTCCATACCGAGCCCCACACTCCCTCTTCGGAGGGGTAAGTGCGTAAATTCGCATTTCTCCTGAGATATCAAAAAAAAAAAAAAAGGCTACTTTTGCCGCACCCTCCTTTGAGTCTCGACCAAGCTCGAAGTGAGTATCATTTGTTCCGATCACTAAAAAATTTTTTGAACGGACAAAAATTCCAAAACGACAATGAGATCAAAACTGCATTGGAGCAGTTTTTTGCTCCTAAAAATAAAGAGTTTTATGAAACGTGAAAAAATGATATTACTTGAAAAATGTCAAAAGGTTATTGATAATAGCGGACATAATATTAATTAATAAATCGTCGTTTTTTGTTTCCTTAAAAAATTCATAATCACCTTTTTGCCAACCCAATACATAAAAGACATCATGTTGAGTCACATTACGACAATGACACCAACATCAAAACGTTTTTCCGAAAGAGAGTATGTTTACTTACTCGGCAATGGCCCAAGCTAATCCGCAACCTTCATAGGTTGATGTTCCACGTCCTAATTCGTCAATCATAACCAATGAATTTTCAGTGGCTCGCTGTCGAAAAAACATTCAAATAAAATATATTATTTTTTACAAAATAAATGTGATAAAAACAAAACGTAATTTAACCTGAAGAATTGCAGATATTTCGACCATTTCGTTCATGAACGTGGACACTCCTATCGATTGTCTATCGGAACTTCCGATTCTAGCTAAAATACTATCTTTCAAACTTATTTCGGCTTCTAGGCAAGGTACAAACGAACCGATTTGAGCAAGTAAAACATTTATTCCGACCGTTCGAATGTAGGTACTTTTTCCTCCCATGTTCGGACCCGTAATTATATAAAATGTTTTCCCGTTTTTCTCTAATAAAATATCATTCGGTATTACAGATATGGAATCCTGTGCTTCTAACAAAGGGTGCCTCGCTTCTTTTAATCGTAGTATACCGTCTTCTAAGGGTCGAATTTGTGGTCGGACGTAGGGCGTAACGGCGTTGGCAGCTATCACAGCAAAACTAGTCAAGACGTCGAGGTTTGCAATTATGTTATTGAGATTCATTAAGGGTCCAGTGTAACCAGCTAAACAAGAATAAAACAATTTATTTAAAATATGTTGTACCGAAAAAATTGTTTTGCAAAATGGTTGGATGATAAAATGGATTTTTTTGTTAATTATTTTTATACCTGCAATATCCAAAACTTCATCAACTACGGTTTTCTGACAATCATCATAACTTTTCCTTTTTTCTAAATAATCCTCGTTTAATTCTTTCAGAGATGAACTTTGAAATCTAAGTCCAGCGTTTGTAGAGTCAAGAATTTTAAATTTACTACTGTTTCTTATTTTAGATTCTTCCTAAAAAAAAAAACAATTGACTAAATTTATATTCTTTAATTTTATTTTGATTTTAATAATTAATTTTTATTTACTTTTTTGTTTGAAATTCTAAAATGATATCCGTATTGAGGCATTGTTTCTAATTTAAGAATTTTCCCACTTTCCAAATGCAGTTCCCTTGCTGCATTACCCAACTCTTTTTGTATTTCTTCGTCTAAATAATCCAATGAAGCTTTCAATTCGGATAATTCTTCACTGAAATCAGCTTTTATTAAAAATAATCCCTTATTTATTTGATCCATATCTAAAGTGCTCGAGATCATTTCTTGAAATTTTGATAAATCCTCTGAAACTTCTTCTAAAGGTGATAAAAATGTTTCTTTTACGCTGGCACTGTACGTAGCTGTTTTAAGACTCTCCAAAAGAGAAGGAATGTGTTCGACAGCACGATATATCCTACGACATAATACATCAATTACCTTATTTGTACTAAATTTATTCAAACATCATATTTTGATTTAATTATTACTTATAACAGTCTTGCAAAGATGCATTTTTATTCTTAAGTTTTCGACATAATAATTGCCCATCAGGAAACCATCTTAAGTGTTCTTCACTTAAGCTCATTCTTAGCTCTGTATCATCTATAAATGCCGCAACAATATCATGCCTTTCACTTATAGTTCTAATATCTTTTAAAGGCTGTTTAACCCATTGAGTTAATAGTCTTCTCCCTTGTGGCGTTCGACACTTATTAAGAAAATGTATTAAAGTATCTTGAGATGAGGAACTTTGTTGAGGTATTAACCCCAAAGCCTTTGCTGATGCTATATCCATGTGAACAAAACGTTTTGGTTCAACTGTTTCTAGTTTGAAATTCAAATTTTTTCCTGATAACTTTTAATAAAACAAAAAAAAGAAATTTAAACTTTATTTTTGCATATAAAAGTAATAGCGACAAATCAATTCAATGAATTCATTTCTATTTAAATAATAGTAAGCACATACTAATTTACCTCCAGATATTTAATTAATGCACTTAAGCAGCTTGTAGCAATGTTTAATTTCATTTCTGGCAATGCTGATGCATTTTGCGATTGTCCCTCTTTCCATTCTAAAAGGTGATTCAAATCTTGAGCTAAATTCTCAGTATTAAAATTTGATTGCTTCAGTTTTACAACCATTCCACAGCATCTATTAGCAATCTATTAAAATAAAATATAAAATTTTTCTTTAAAATTTACAACCCTGAGTCGAAAGAAGTTCTAAAATAATAAATGACATACTTTTAAAATGCTCGAGTATTCTGGCAAATCTGGTATAATTATCTCTTTAGGAGATTGTTGAACAATAAAGCCTTCTAAATCAGTAAATTGATCATCATCTGGAAATTGACAGATACCCATTGATTCAGTACTTAAATCTATTATTGACACACCAACTGTTTTGACTTTGGCTTCATCTACTACTTTCACAGCTAAAACTGCAGCTCCTATAAAAAATAATTTTGATTTAATTAATTTATCTACTACTCTTACATTTGCAATTCGTAAAGATCTTGATTATTTTCTTACCAACATCTAACTCGGAATTAAAAATATCTTCAAATGCAGTTAAATTCCCTGGGGAGCCTTTTAATTCCAAGAACCAATCATTACTTTTAACTCCACCTTTAGGACTGTATACCTCTACTCTATAATGATGAATTATCAATAAATCTTTAACAAGTGTTTCAAATTGGTTTTTGTTCAATACTAAAGACTCGAATTTTGTTTCGCCTAAAACAGTTAAATTTATTAAATATTTAATGTTTCGAAGTTACAGATTTCAATTAAATTCAAAAATAATTCTTTAGACCATTTTACATTAATAAAATTATAAGTAAATTTTAAAGTAACAGATTGACATGAAAATAATTTAAATGAATTACCCATAACAAAATTTAAAAATTATATCAAATCAAGTGGTTTTTAAAAAAAAATTTTATGATATTTAAGTACATAAGCATACCTTTTCCTAAATATTTAACAGAACTCATTGACTTGAATACTTCTTTGGCAACAAATAACGCGTCCAATCCATGCACAGTATAAAATTCAATTCTATTAAAAAATCTTATAGTGGTACTTGATTTCTGCAATACGAAGAAAGAATTAGTTAATAAATAATAATGAGAGAGAAATGAGAAATATTTCGAATTGATGATTCGATCTTAAAAAAAATAATTTAACAAGAATTATTTACCTCAGGTAACTTTTTGAAAAAACTAAAAAATCCAGTTTCGACTAAAATAAAAAAATTTTTCAATGGCATTAACACATACAAATATATATCCATATAAAAATTGTCAACATCTATGCAACCCAATTACTTACCTATATCAGATATTGGACAAGTATCAGCTTCCATTTTAAAACAAGATATATAACCAATTACCAAAATCTGTGAGAAATTACTATTTTTAAAAACTTTATAAAAAAACAATTTGCCTAATGTCAATTTGGAGGGAAAGGCTACTTGAGTAAATACCTCTATACAATCGAAACGTGGCTTTAGAATACCAAGTAAGAAACACGTAATACAATTTTAAAAACGTATAATTTTTTATATAAGAAGCTAGGTGTAACAATAATTTCTTTTTAAATTATAAGTTAAACTTTTAAAATTATTTATTATAAGTTATTTGTAATTAAGTTTTTTTTTTTTTTTTAAGTCAATTTATTTAAATTGCAAAAGGTTAGTTTTCATTTAATAAATTTCATGTTAAATTTAAAATTATTAAAATTTTCTTCATAAACTAACTTTAAAATTTTTTTTTTTTTTTTTTTTTTTAATCTTAGAAATTATGTCGTGGATTCTAGACACTAAATTAAATCCGTTACAAAAGCTATGTATCAATGTTATTAAAACGGGATACATCCCTCGTCATATAGCTATTATTATGGACGGTAATCGTAGATACGCCAATAAAAACAAAGTTTTGAAGGTAGAGGGACACAGTAGAGGGTAAGTTGTAGATCTCATTTTTTAAAGTAATTTTCTTATTTAAATTAAAAAAAATTATTATAACTTTTTTGTATTTTTAGATTTGATAAGTTGACTGAAGTTCTAAGGTGGTGCTTAGATATAGGAATAATCGAAGTTACTGTCTATGCCTTTAGCATTGAAAATTTTAAAAGAAGTGAAGATGAAGTAAATCAAATAATGAATTTAGCTAGGCGAAAATTTGAAAAACTTCTAGAAGAAAAAGATAAATTAATTAAAGAAGGAGTCAACATAAGAGTTATTGGTGATTTATCATTGTTGCCTCATGATCTTTTTCAATTGATTTCAAAAGCAGTTTATTTAACCAAAGACAACACAAAAGTTCGTTTGACTGTAGCTTTTTCATATACAGGTAATGTTTTATCATCTTCAAATATTAATGCATTGGTAAAAAAGTTGATAATATATATATAAATGCAACATTTTAGGTCAAAATGAAATATGTGAATCTATTAGATGCATTTCAAAAGGTGTCAAGGAGGAAAGACTGAAATTAAGTGATATTAGTATGGATTTATTGGGAAAAAGCTTATATTCTGAAAACAGTGATGTTCCAGATTTAGTTATTCGAACCTCTGGCGAAGTAAGAATTAGTGATTTTATGCTATGGCAAAGTAGTTACAGTTGTTACTATTTCACATCGATTTTATGGCCTGAATTTACATTTTGGGAACTCTTAAAAGCAATTTTCTTTTACCAAAGAAGTTATAAAATACTAAACAAACTTAAAATTAAAGACTGTGATACAATCAATAATGAAAGAACTATTAAATTTTTATCAGATTTATATTCGGAAAGATTAGATAAAATGAAAAAAGTTATAAGTTAATGTTCCTTTAAACAGGGTTATATTATTAATATGGAGTACCTGATTATAGTAATTCCAGTATGGTGTAATCAATTTTCTTTTTTTTTTTCTTTTTCTTAAATTCAAAAATATGCTGCACTGTGAAAAAACCAGTGAAAATTTATTTAAAATTATTAAATAATTTGTTATTATATAAAAATATATCCATTTTAAAAAAATTCATTGCTTTTCGATGTAATTAGCAATAGTACTGTATTGTTGCAGCCTTATCCTAATCAATACAATTACTACTTTATTATATTTATTTTTATATATATATATTATTGGAATTTAAAATAAATTATTATTTGTTGTTATCAGCAAAGACAAAAAAAAAAAACAATTAAAATCTTGTGAATTTTTCTTTTAATCTCCGGAAAATAAATCATAATTTACCCAAAACTAATTAATTACTGAATTAATTTAATGCTTGGGTAAAATTTGAGATTTAAAAAAACAATTAAAAAACAAAATAACAACAACAAAAACAAAAGATACGAATTAATTAATTTATTAAACTGTTTACACTTTACAATAATTTTTTTTATTTTTTTATTTCTCTATTTTATTTAACTTTTAATTATACATCCGAGCAATTTATTTCCATTGTACGAAGTAATCTACTTACAAGATCGTAAGATTCTCTAAAAAAAAACAAAAAATTTTTAAAAATTCTTCGAAAAAAAAAAAAATTAATTGATTTAAAAAAAAAAAAACAAATTTTACTAACTTCTCTGTAGAATCATACTCGTGAACTTGAGTCGCTAAAAGTTTTAAATGTTTCGTAAACATTTCTAACTTTTTAATTTTGGCTTCTTTTTGAAACCACCATCTTGGAAACGTCATAATTATCTAAAATGAATAAAAAAAAATTTACTTTTTTCTTAAATTTCCCCCTTTTTTTTTTTTTAATTCGAAAAGAATAATAATCAATCGTTTGAATCACCATATTAGCTTTTTGTATGGCATCGCACGGAGTACAAGTTCTTAAAGCCGCCATTAGGTATCTATTTAAAAGTGAATCTAATGCAATTTCTTGCAAATGTTCTGATCCGATAAAACCTTGAAAACTTAAAATATTTCTTAATAGTTTAACCGCACTGGCAAACTGCCTTTGAAAAAATACTGAAGAATTTCCCTTTGTTTCAACATTCCTAAAAAAAAAATTCAGAAATTTTATTTATAAAATTTAATTTTAATTGTTTTTTTTTTTTTTGCATGAAATTTTTAAAAATGAATACGTCGTACATTTTTAAATTAATTGGAATAAAAACATCGTTATCTACGGCCGATTTAAGTTTATCAACAATCCCTTGCAATAATGCTTCCAAATGACGACTTTTGGGCCCCAATGTCGGCGTTTCATTTACGTATTTTCCTAATAGGCCGACTAAGCGAAGAGTTTGCGAAGACGACATCGGATCCCAGGAACATTTTATAAGCTCTTTGAAAAAAACAAAAAATTTTAACGAAATTTAAACCTGTCGTAAACAAAAACAATTTGAAAACAATTTTTTTAAAAAATATTTTTAACACTTACGAGTTAGTTTAGGAATAATAACTCTTTCTATAATTAAAGGAACAAGAAGTACATCTGGATCGTTGGCAAGACTTTCGCACGTTTCTTTTTCTCTCATTCCATAGAGTAATAATCTTCCCCACCATCTTGTACATTCCAAATCAATTACGTCACCCTGTAATACATCAATTAAAATGAACTACGAACGAATAAAAAAAAAAAAAAAAGTAATTATAACATTGCTACATCGTATCGTATTAGAGAGTGCTAATATTTCGGTGATTCTAAAAAAAATAAATTAATTTAAGCTACCAAAATCGGATTCCATGTTAAAGTATTAAATCGAACTAGAGGACCTAAGAGTTTTGGTAAACACAAACTGGCATATGCTTCCGTATATGATATTAAGTCGAATTTTCTCCATAGTTCTAATCGGCAGGCAACTCCGTCGATTGTTCCAAAATCATCTTCGACATCCGCTAATAATCCTTCGCCAAGTCTATTTATTCCGTCTGAAATGAGAAAAAAAAATTACTCAAAAAATGTGAAAACACATTTTTCACAAATTTATAAAACAAACTGTAACTCATGGTCATGTGTATCAAATACGTGAATCTACATCGTGAAGTATTTAAAAAACATAAAATTTATACCAAGTTTAAGTTTAAAAGCTGTTAATTCAGATTCTGTTAATTCATCATCACTTGACATTCCGTCTATGTGAGAACTAGACAAAGATTTCAGTTCCCTGGTTCTTCTTCGTCTTGTTCTTCTACCCTCTCGTTCGGCAGCTCTTCTGGACTTGGCTTCTTCCTCTTCTTTACTCCAACGTAAACCTCCGGCTGGATTTTCTAAAAAGCAAAAAAAAAAAAAAAATTTGAATTTTCTCATATAAAACATGAAGATCTCAATATCATGTTAATTATTTACTTGCAAAAGGAGACATTTCGTCGGCTTGATCCCTAACATCTTGCCTTCTTCTTTCAGCAAAATATTCAGAACGTTCAGTCCATAAATCATTAGCCTTTTCTTCTAATTTCAAAAGTCCCGGCATCTGAAAGAGAAAAAAAAATTTTCTTATTAGATTAATTTTTTCACAAATATTTCTTTTAAACTTAAAGCAGAATAAACTATAAATAATTAATTAAGCTTTTTAATTCATAATCTTTTTCCCTTAAACATTGAGACCATAAATTTTCCAACTACTTTCTTACCATTGATTAATAATTTATTTTTATTGTCGAAATGTCATCATAAAATCATCACCAATCATTACAATCATTACAATAAAAAAAAAAAAAATTTTTTTAAATTCAAAATAAAAACTAAAAAATCCAAAGAAACAAAAAAAAAAAGGAGAAAACTAAACTATACATGTATTCAACTATTTTTACTTAAGCAATTTTAATTTTAGATAATTCCTAAAGAATACAATTTTTTTTACTTTTCGTGAAGCGTTCCACATTTTATTTTTTATTGAAATAAAAATAATATTAATAATAATTAATGTATTTTTTCTTTTATGTTTCTCCAAGGTATTGTTTACATTGATCACCAGAATCAATACAGAGAAGATCATTATATCGGACCCACCTTCTCATCAAGACACTCTACCAAGTCAGTGACATACCCACGCATTTCTTGGTAGAAGCGGAATTTTTCCGCCAATCCTGGAGCCTCACTTTCCAACTGACTAGCTTCTTTAATACAATCTTTCAAATCCGCTTCAGCTCTTTCCTTATCTTGCAAATGTCTTGTATGAATATCTTTAAGTGTATTTAACCTGAAATTTAATTTGCTCTATGAAATAATTTTAAAAAATAATTTTTTAGGGAGAGACCTTGATAAGAAAAATAAATTACAATTTAGGAAATGTGTTACGATTCTTACCTTTTAAACTCATTTATTTAAATTTAATCAAAGTTATTAAGACTCTTAGATTTAAATGATCAATTGTAAAAATTCTTTAACATAAGTAATTTTATTTTATAAATTTTTTAAAAGACTTACCTTTCTTTTACTTTATCAATAATAGAATCAGGTGTGGGCAATTCCTTGTTTTGTGGAGCTATAACATTGGTAAACAGAGTCTGATTGGTTTGATGTTCCTGCAAAGCTGATGATGGCTGACTATTTACCACTGTAACACCTGTTACACCTTTTCTGATTTGTTGATTTTCCCATTCATCCTCTTCTGGAGCCAAAGGTTCTTCATTATAAAAATTCTCTAACTGATGGTCTCGATCTCTATTTTCTATGTGAACTGACATATCAATTCTTTTTTCATCTTCGTCAGATCCTTCATTGTCTTCTCCAATTAATCTAGATTTACTTTTCGAGTTATACCTGAAATTATTTAATTTTTATCAAAATGTTGATATGAATATCAACACAAAATAAACCACTTTAAATTTTTAAATCTTAAATTATATAAATTAAAAAAAATTGACTGACTTTTGATTTACATCAACCGGAATGTAATCAGCACCTAATTCTCTGGCTCGTTGTCTTTTCTTCCTTGCTGCATGAATTGTAGCTGCATCAGGAATTTTACCACCTACAATATTTGCATACATAAATACTGAACACTAATGGATTACATGATAATAATAATTTTTAAAAGTTAAAAAAACCTTACTTTCGATCATAATTCTGGCACGATCAGGTTGGGAAAATTTATGTCTTGTAGAACCTTCATCATCAGATGAAGATAAGTCATCTTTCCCAGCGGCTAATGCTGCTCTGCCATTAAGAATGATTGGCTTGCTTTCTCTTAAAAGTTTTTCCTGCTTAATTTTTTCTTCTTCATCATTTTTTAAAATAACCTACAGGACATTAAATTAATATATTTATTTTAAATAAATTTTTTGCCAATTTTTTCAATAATGATACAAGTATTGTAAGCTTTTACTTGCTGAACCTACCACTATATCATCATTGCTAACTTCAACTTTTTTTTGTTGTGTCTCTTCTCCATCTTTATTTTGTACATCTTTTTTCTTTTTTCTTTCTTTATCTAGTAATCTGACTAATTTTTTGCTTTGAGGCGATTTTTTTATTTGAAAAACTTCACCGTCCTCTGTGATTATACCAGCATAATTACATATGACAATAGTTATTAGCAATTTTTAAAAAAATATTGCAGAACAAAAATTTTTTTAATTTAAAGAAAATCTTTAGCAATAGTGTAATTATTTAAAAAAATTTAAAAAAATATTATTACTTACCTTCTTCATCCCCAAAACTCAACAGAGTAGTTTGTTTACTCCTTTGAATATCTTTTTCTTTATCTCTTTTTTTTGAAACTTTATTATTTATTAAAGAAAAATTTTTTTCATCACCGTCGTTAGTGAGATTTTCACTATTTTCCAAATCATCATCATCTTTTTCAATATTTCTAGTTCTAATATTTTTTTTAGGTTTTTTAAATAAAGCCATATCGCCTCTAGAGGTTAATAGCGCGTTACTTAAAAAACCATTGAGGCTAATATGGTGACCGCTCAATTTCAATTTATCGTTAAGATTACAAATTTCTTAAAACTTTTAGTTTAAAATTTTCAACAACAAAAAAAAATTAATTTTTAATTATCTTCTTTTAATTGTGAATTAATTATTAAAATATTAACGTCTTAGTATTTTACAAATTGATTTAATTTAACTATTTTATTTACTTATTAACTCAGTCATGACAATTTTTACTTAAAAAAAAAAATTAATTTATTACGGGTGACACATAAAAATATCAATTTATTGTAAGTAATTTATAAAAATATTAATTTATTTAGAAATTTTTTATAAATACTTTAACGACATCATGAGATTATACAATAAAGTACGATGAAGAAAATTTGTTTGAAAAATTCATTTTAGTATAAAATAAAGAAAATATATGTGGCAATAACATTTGTAGAATAATGTAAATTCCGATAGGAGTGGAAGGAGTAGAACCAAAAGGCCACAACCAAAATCCCCGCCTTTTACTGTCTCTGATATGATGGCTAAAAAATGCCGCTGATAAAATCCATCCGAATTTGTACAACCATGAAATTTGTTGATAAATTGAAATTAATAAGAGAGACAAAACAATAATTAAAATTAACGTTGTACAATGAAGAAACGGTCTATTTTTTAAATTTACCGCATCCTAAAACAAAAAAACAGGCGAATTACTATTAAAGAAGTCATTTAAAAGTACAATAATTTTTAATAATAACCCTCAGATAAAATGATTTGGCAGCAACAAAATGGTCTAAATCCATTAGAGAAGAAAACATTCCACATAATAAAATTTCAGCAATAAATCCAATGCTAGGATTTGAAGTTTTAGAAATGAACATTCCAATCCAAGTAAAGGCGCCAATTAATCCATGGGTTGAATTATCACAAATGGCAGCTACCAATCGATTATTTTGATTTTCACTATTTTTGTCTCCGACTAGTGCTAACATAGCAATCGATAGAGACAAAAATATTTTTTTTTTATCTATTTCAAAAAATAACATTGCATGTCTGATGAACTGTAATTATTAAAGAAAATCATATAAGAACGCGACACTTTTACTAAAAATTTATCTGAAATAAAAAAAAATTTAATTAATTTTTTTTAATTAAAAATTTTAATGTTGGAGAAAAAAAATTTATTCAATATATTTTTTAATTTAAAAAAAAAAAAAAAAAAAAAAAAGCCGTTTAAAAAATTAAAATTTAAAAAACTTAAAATTTTCAGCAGTCACCAATAGTAAATATAAAAGTAACGCAACACTTTAGTCTCAATCAAATTTCAACATCAACAATTTTATATTTATCGTCATTATTTTAATTAAAATAAAGTATAACATTTATTCAAAATGAGTGAAATGGAGGTTAGTGCAATATTTATGCGTTAATTTAATTTTAAAAAATTTTTACTCTTACCTAATTGGGATTTTTTAGTAAAAAAATATAATAATTTTAGTTAACTGCTGTACGTTGCGAATATTTATTTTCTACTGACACTTCATTAATTGGTTTAGTCATTTACCATCCTGTGTAAATTTCTAATTATTCTCTTAAAATAATTGGCTAAAAATCAATTTTTTCAACCCTATTTAAATTTTAATATCCCTCATGATGTATAAAATTTTAAATAAATAAAAAATTAAATAAATCTGTAATTTCCTATTTGTATTTATTTCCTTAGTAAAAAAAATTCTTAATTACAATTAACAACCTATTAATCCTTTAACTTTCCCTCTAGGGTTTGAATGATGCTCCAATTAATGATGAAATATTACCAAATAACGAAGGGGAAGGGTCAGAAACGATTGATGAGGTATCCTTAATTTACTTTAAACCTTACTACCTATATTTTCACCTTGTAACCTTTCTGTTTCATCTTTTTAATTCCTAGACTCAAGAAGAAGAATCTGAGAAGGGTATTGAAGAAATTTGTGAGCTGGAAGTATGTGAATCCTGATTCCAATCCTAAGTACCTTGTAATTCCTTTTCGATAAAAATAAATTAATAAATTTTAATCTAGTGTGTAAAAAATTTTAGGAAGAAGAAAAAATTTATGGAGGGTGTGAAGGTCCTGATGCAATGTATGTAAAATTAATATCATCTGATGGCCATGAATTTATTGTGAAGAGAAAGCATGCAATCACTTCAGGTACTATTAAAGCTATGCTTTCTGGCCCTGGACAATTTGCTGAAAATGAAACTAATGAAGTTAATTTTAGAGAAATACCATCTCATGTATTACAAAAGGTCTGCATGTACTTTGCATATAAAGTCAGATATACCAATAGTTCGACAGAAATACCTGAATTTCCAATAGCACCTGAAATAGCTTTAGAACTACTTATGGCTGCTAACTTTTTAGATTGCTAAAATTTATAAATTATATTTATTGTTCAAAAAAAAAAATGTTTGTATGCTTTTAAACAAAACAAAGAGCAATCATGTAGCTGCTATTAAGTAGCACACACAAATTATTTAAATTACTCATCATAATTAAAAAAAAATTCACAAAATAACATGTAATTGAGGCAAAATTAATAAATAATTATAAAAACGATAATAATAATAATAATAATAATAATAATATGGCTGTAAAATAAGAAAAAAAAAAAAAGAAAAAAATTTTTCAAAACTTTGATTTGTAAATTTAATAATTTCTACAAAATGCTTACTCTGATTAATTTTAGAAAAATATATTTGTTTTGATCACATTTTAAAAATAGTAATGAAAAAAGCATTTTTTATTTATAATTATGTTGCCTTTCCTATAAACACATTTTTTATATCAAGCTAATTATAAATAAAATTTGTTGTAATAATATTATAATAATTAAATTTTTTATTAAATCTTAATTTATTTATTTGTGAAAAAAAAAACAATTTTGAAAATTTAATGTACTCATTTACTTAAAATTATTCCTGTGATTAAAGAATATATTGTACAACCTATTATAATGTTGTAATTTATTTTTTATTTCGAGTATAATATTCAAAAAAAGGATTACAAAATAATTTGTCCTCTAACCATCCTGACAAAATATATGCATTATTACACAACATATTGTTTTTTAATTTAAATATTACTATCATCTTCACATAAAATTGTTAAAAACTTAACTTTTCAGTTGCAGGCTCTTTATGTTCAGTATAATGAGTAAGTATTAGTAAAAAATAAAAATGGCGTTTCAATATTATATATGTATATACATATTAGAATTAAACTATCTTTTTTCTCATTATTGCACTTGAATTGAGTTTAAGATAAATTTCTTTTTATTAATTAATAATTTAATTTCAAATAAATAATTTGGAAACAAAAAAGAATATTAATACAATTTAAATGTTTCTGAGAAAATTTAACTTTTTTTTCGCTTTAATCACAATCATTTAAAATTAAAAAAATAAAATACTACTGCATAATTTTAGTTTTAAAAAATCCTCACTAAACAATTTTATTAACTGTTGATTTAATACCAGAATCCTTGATGTTAAAAAAAAAGGTTGGATAAAAAATATTATTTATTGTCTAAAACTCTGGAGACATAATTCAAGATTCAAATTCAAAAAAAAAAAAATTAAGTGTCAGTTCGTTATATATATTTTAAGTGAAATAAATAGAAAATAATTTATCACAAAAAAAATTTTATTTAAAATTTTTATAATTATATTAATTATAATTTATTTCATTTGTTTAATTACTCTATTATTTAAAAAAAAATAATAATAATAACTCACTTGAAAAATAATGCATTGGTATAATTGAAATTATTAAATAATACTATTGTATTTTTTTGTTGTCTTGTAAACCTTGATAAAACAGAAACCTAATAGACATGAACCATTCCATATAAAAACCTGGTTTATAATGTTAAGTAATATACACAAAATATTAATAATTAATAAAATAAATAAGTCAAAGTTTTAAAATTAACAACGAGTAGCAATCAATGAAGCAGATTTTGAGCCTGAAAACTTTTAGTTTTTTCATTATTAAATTGACTAAAACTCAAAAACTACATCTGACTGATTAGAAAATTATTAGTAGTTGTTTGACAGATAACACCAATGAAATTGAAATATTTTATAAAACAAACAATCTGTCGTTGACTAATAATACAAAAAAATCTACTTTGCAAAAGTGTTAATTTTTATGCCATTATTAAATATTAGATTAGTTTTTAATGATATAAAAGGATACGTCCAAAACAAAACATATGTCTGTAAAAATTTAATTAAGGATAAAAATATTTCATGATTTTTAATTGAAATTGCATTGAATTTTAATTTTAAATCAATTTTTAAAAGGATACAAATAATCCCCCGAAAAATCCATTAGTTAATAATAATTTTCTATTGATAAAATATTTTCTCCATTGTGGTCCGGCTTTAATTAAAAGTAAAGCCTAAAATAGAATTAAATTTATAAAGAAAAAAAAATTATTTTTTCACATTAAGTTTTCCTTAAGGGTAAGAATATTAAAATTTAAATATGATTAAAAAAAAATGAAAATGCTCACCCACAAACCGAATATTGCAAAAATGTAAAATGCAAATCCATACAATCCTGTCAGCCCTAAAAGACCAGCTGTTCCACCTGACAAAGCTGCCATGGATGTTCTGCAATATTCAACAACGGCTGCATTGTTACGTACTGCTGCCTCACTGTATACAACTAACTCTAGAATATTAAAAAAAATATTTAGTTAAAAAAAAATTACAATTTTTTAAGATCAACTTAATTAAGATCAAAAAAGTAAAATAATAAATTAATTGTTTCAATTTTTAGTCAAATGAATTTATTTCTCTTTATTCAAAAAATTTTATCATTGAAGATAATTTAATGAATTTATTAAATTGAATCGACAATTTTTAAAGTTTGTCAATCAGAATTTTTAGAAACGTTAAAAAGAGAAACAATAGCATAAAGAATATCAAAAGGAAAAAAATACAATACCCCCAGAAGTATCAACTTTGGTACGTATTTTTCCGGCTACCATAATTTTCACATAATCTAAAGATTAAACGTTTATTTATTAAAAACAAGGATTTTAATTAAAATAAAAAACCATAGAGTAAAAACTTGTTAATAATTTTGTTAATTAGTTGAAGGTTTTTTTAAAAATTTAAATCAATTTTTTAAAATGTCGAATTAAAATGTTTATAAATTAATAAAATTTTTTAGAAAATTGTAAATTTAAAAAATACCAAAGATAATTAAAAAAAAAATTTTTTAATTTTAATTAAATTATTAAAAATAATTTCTAGACTTTTCTATATCTATTACCACGACGAAATTTTTATAGCATTAATTCACTGAGGCGGTGTCGTCAGTAGCGTGAAACATTTTTTTCAAGAAGCAAAAAGAAAATGGTTGATTACAGCAAGTGGAAAGATATTGAGGTACGAATGTTATAATTAATAGTGTTATTGTATTTCAATACTTAAACTTACAAATTTTTGATAAGTACAATGTTAAGGTTAAGTTATTCATTTGGAAATAAATACCTCGCGTCACAAGGTATCATCAATTTGTGCAACAATGTCAAATGTCTTGCTGTAAGACATCAGTCCAAAAATAACGCAAAACAAAATGAATTACATTATTTTAACTTTGAAGACGATGAAAAAGATGAAGAAACAAAGGCAAAAACTGAAGCCGAAATCATGAGGATGCAAAATAAATCAAAACTTTTACCCCACCACTATGATACAATCCATGATAAAATTTCATATAAACCAAATACAGAATATCATTCTTCTTTAAAATTTAGAAGACGTATATATGGTAGATATGGAAAAGAAAGTGGTGTAAATCCGAGCATATTATGGCCGTCAAAAATAGAACTCGAAGCAATGAAAGAATTTGAAGCAATAGCTCAACCTGATTCATTTCATGAACTTGTTAAAAAGGTGAAGGAAAAAAATGAAGAAAACAATAGAATTCGAGAAGAAATGGAAAAGATGATTCTTGAAAAAGTTAAATTAGTTAAAAAAGAAATAGCTGATTTTCAAAAAAGAGTAGATATACAAAATAAAAAAGCTTTAGAAGTCAAAGAAAAGAAGGACAAATTGACGGAAGAAATAAGAAGAGAAATTGGTTATAAAATTGATGTTAGGGATGAAAAGTTTAAAGCCATGTTTGAGGCTAAATTAAAAGAAAGGAAAAAAGAAGAAAAAGCTATGAAAAAAGAAAAGAGAATTAAATATTTATTAGAAAAACAAGAAAGTTTAAAATCATCTGAAAAAATTTTAAAAGATTCATTGGTTGAAGAGTCAGAAGAAAGTGATGAAAAATAATGAATATAAGTGGAAAAAAATATTTACTTTTAATTTTGCTATTCATACATGCAAATTAAATAAATTTTTAATAAATATATTAATGTGTTATTTGTTAAAATTCGGTTATTTATTATAATTTGACACCTGCTTTTTCCCTTTTTCCTAACTCATGCTAGATTTATAAATTAATGAGAACATACAGATACCCCTAAGTTAAAGATTTTGCAAGAGCAAATAATTTTTTAAAAAATTAATTTCAAAAAAAAAGGGATGGAGCAGGTGTCAAAGGTAGGATTCTACCAAAAATATTAGTGTAAAATTATATTTAATGAAAGTAAAATATTGTCTTTATTTCACAGATATCTGACGATGAAGATGACACTCATCCAAATATTGATACTCCATCTTTATTCAGATGGAGGCATCAAGCCAGACTTGAAAGAATGGAAGAAATGAAAAGTGCTAGAGAAATTCAAAATCAAAAGGTGCATGATAATAAAAAAAAAATTAAAGAAACCAAAGAGAAAATAGAAATGGCAAAAAAAACAGGTTGTGAAATGGGTGATTTATTAAAAGTTCTCGAAGAGCTTGAAAAGGAAGCAAGTGAACTTAAAGCTAAAGATGAAGAGCTTTTGAAAAAAGAAAGATTAACTCCTTGGAATGTTGATACAATTAGTCATTCCGGTTTTTCAAAAACCGTTTTAAACACCAAGCCAAAAGTTGTTAAAGAAGAATTGAGCGATCAGGAAAGAGAAGAAAAATTTAAAAAATTTATTAAAGACAATGAGAAAAAAATAAAAGATTTTGGAATGTTACAAAAATATGATGATAGTAAAAAGTATTTGCAGGATAATTTAGATCTTGTTTGCGAAGAAACTGCCAATTATTTAGTTCTCTGGTGCATCAATTTGCAAATGGAAGAAGTAAGTTTTTCCCTTTTGTACCTGAATCCCTTTTTTTTTAGTCTTTAAATAATAATAATTTTAACTCATACTTACGTTTTCTTCCTTAATTCCAGAAAGGAAGTCTTATGGATCACGTGGCACATCAATGCATGTGTATGCAATACATATTGGAATTATCGAAACATTTAGATGTAGATCCTCGAGCTTGTGTTGGATCATTTTTTAGCAAGTGAGCAGACGAACAACTTGAATAAATTTTTATTACCTACAAAAAAAAAAAAAAAAAAAAAAACATAAAACATAAAATAATTTTTTAGGATTCAAGTGGGCGATGTAGATTACAAACAATCGTTTGAAGATGAATTAACCGCATTTAAAGATAGAATTAGAAAAAGAGCTCAAGAAAAATTAGATGTTTTAATGAAAGAAGTCGAAGAAGAGGAAAGGCAAGCTCGTTTAGGTCCAGGTGGTTTGGATCCTATCGAAGTTTTAGAATCACTTCCAGAAGTAAGTTTTTTTTACTATAAATCATTTTTTAAATAAATATTTAAACGAATTTTCATTTTTTTTTTTTCCCCCGATTTTAAAGGATTTAAAGAAATGTTTTGAAACAACAGACATACCATTGCTTCAAACAACTTTAGCTAACATGCCTGAAGACGAAGCCAGATACCACATGAAAAGATGCATCGATTCAGGATTATGGTTGCCAGATGGAGGTAATAAAAAAGAATCACCTAAGGAATGAAAAACATTTAAAACAACAATAACAACAACAAAAACAAAACAAAACAAAATAAAAAGAAAAGAAATGAAAAAAAAAAAATTTAAATTATAAATTTTGTATTTTGCTTTTATAATTATTTGGAGTACTAAATTTTTATTTTTATGTTTTTTTTTTTTTTTTTTTTGTTTGCAAAATATTTTTGATATTGAGCTATTTGTTTTCAGTCTGCATATTATATTTTATACAAAAAAAAAATAAAAATGATAATTCATATAATACAATAATTTACATTTTTATTATTTTTCATTTCAAGTTGTATATAACAAACAATAAAAAAAAAAAAAAAAAATGGCTGATTTACACGTCGTTAATTACTTTTTTAATCCATAAAACATGTATATAAAAAAATGTCATCAATACGATGATGACGTCATTATAAAATACTATTATTATTATTAATCGATTTTCTTTCCCCCCCCGAAAAGAAAAATAAAATAAAATAAAATTTCCAAATAAAAAATTTTGAAAGTTTATATTTATTTATTATTTAATGACAATTTTTTTTTTTTTTTATTTTTTTTTCGGTTTTTAATTTAAACTATAAAAATAAAAATTTTCCTTTGAGATTTTCTTTGATAAAATAAAAATAAGAAAAAAAATTTGAATCTAAATGTAAAAAATAAAAAACGATTTAAAAAAATTACCTAACATTATAATTCATTAATTATTTTGATCATTTTTGTTTAAAAAAAAAAAAAAAAAACCAGCATAAGTAAATCGATAAATTTCATTTTATATAAAAAAAATTATTTTAACGAATATTAAAAAAAAAATAAAATAAAATAAAAAAAATTAAGTCTTAATTAAGTGTTGTTTTCCTCCTTCACTTTTCCTATAAAAACAAAATAAAATAATAATAATAATAAAAAAATGCGTTAATCAATCAGTGATACGTTCAAAAAAAAGAAAAACCGATTTGACATTTAAACAGTAAAAACGGTTCTTATCACACATTTTCTCCCTTTTCTCCTGATAACACAGATAAAAACTATAAAATTTAAAATTTTATTTAAAGATCTTTAATAACTGCTTGTGTGTGTAAGTAAGTAACTATCTATATTTTAAAATAATAATAATAATTTTTTTAAGTAAAGAGTGAATTAATATCATTATTATTTAAAATGTATATGTATAATATATATATATATATAAATAAATAAAAATTTTTTAAGAGGACAAAAAGAAAAATGGAGGCAAAATCATTTACGAGCAAAAAAAAAAAAGAAAATTCAGTCGGATTAAATTACGTACGACATGATAATAATAATAATAATAATAATAATAAATAATTTTGCCTCTTTTTCTTCACATTTAATAGTCTATAATAAAAAATTACTAATTTATTTATTTTATTTTCTATTAAATAACGTCTCCTCCTCTATCCGTTGAATTTTGACCTGGTTCGATTTTTATAATCATACTATTTCCGTATCCGTCAAGTATTGGATTGATATCGCTGAAAAAAAAAGTTTATTGAATTATTATTATCATTATTATTATTATTTAAAACAAAATCCGTTGTTGAATCATTTCATTTAAGTTAAATATATAACTTGAGGAAAACTTACAGAAATACTGAAAAATAAAAAAAAATAAAAAAAAAAACTTTTTACACGCGCACACAACATTTGGAAGAATATCAAAACTTTTTTTTTTTTTTTTTTTTTTTTTTTGGTTTAACTTGTACTGGACAGCTTTTGTTTTGTTTTTTTTTTTTTTTAATTTCTATGTTTAACAAGGTCAATTGTAGGAAAAATCAGGGCTACCAACTAAATTGAAAGAAAAAAAAAAGGCAAAGTGTTAATTAATTGAAAAAACAAAAAAAACAAAAACAATTGGAAAACGCCAAAACAAATCAATTTCATTGTTTTTTTGTTTTTTTAACTTTTTTTTTTAACTTTTTTTTTTTTTTTTTGTCAAATATGTTTTAAATATTTTATACAATTTTTAAAATCATTCAAATTTTTTTAATTTTTACAATTTAAAACGTACCTTCTTCCTGTCTAGAAGAATAATCACCACCGACTTCGCCCCATTGATTCCTACCCAAAAGATGATGACAATCTTCATCCACTGATTTTTGGGGATACGTGATACCATCGCCCAGACTGCAATTAATAACTACTTATTGCAGTCCCTTCGATCAAATTATTAACCCCCAAAAAAAATTTCCACCCCGCCCCCCCCCTCACATAATAATTAAATAAAAAAAAAAAATTATTTATGCCTAGTTCTTCGTTCTTAGGATTGGTTTGTCATTCGATTTGTATAAAAATATTAAGGCTAGGGATTTGAAAACTCAAGAATATATATAATTTCTATCCTACTTTTAATTCTTGTAGTGGTTTAATACAGGTTCCTCCTCATACACTTAAAAAAAAAAAAAAAAAAAAAAAAAGTTCTCCTACCTGAAAATCCTTGAAAAAGTTAGAAAATAATCATCGATATCATTCATTTCCCTTCTGACTAAAAATTCTTAATTAATAAAATTCAGGCATGCAAAAATCAAATTATTATTTTGTACCAACAATACCCAATTTTTAAGTAATTAGTTAAATAATGGCTCACAATTTATTTACATGGAAAAAAATATTTGCAGATTTTAAATGAAACGTTAATAAAAAAAAAAAAAAAAACCGTTAAAAAACCGTTACAAAGCTTGCTTATTTAACTTTATGAAAAATCCCAAAAACAAAAACAGAAAAGCCAATAAAAACAATTAAGTTGTGTTATGAATTAATTTCATGTAAAAAAGAGTTAAGTAAATAAAAAATGTTTGAACCTTTGTTAAGAATCTAAAAAAAATCTTACAGTTAAAAATTAATTTTCAGAGGAAATTTTAGGAACGCACATTACAAAAATTTTTTTCCATTTTATATTTCTCAAATAATAGCAAACCACAAAATTCTAGTCAAGCGAAATATTTTTATGTTATTATACCTGTTTTCAGTTTTCCCCATTGAATTGTAGTTTGCCTGATGTTGTGAACGAACAGGGTAAGTAATCCCATCTCCCAGACTAGAAAAAATCATTTTAAAAATCATTCAGGGCCTTTTCCTGTGACTTACAAAAAAACAAATTGAACTAATAATGGCAAAAGTGTCTTTTTTTTTTTTCCACAAGAATTATTTTCAATAAAATCTGACAATTGAAAAAAAATTTGCCACCTTAATAAACATAAGAGTAAATTTAATATTTCAAGATTGTAACTTTTAGCGAGGATATTACAATGTGGTTTAAAAAAAAATAAAATATTTAAAAGTTGAAGAACTAGGCATTATAAAAATGTGATTAGTTAAGTAAGATTTTACCTTGTAAAAACGGGCAAAAACCATGTTTTCTTATTATCTCCAAAAACTTCTTGAAAGTTGTTAAAAGCTCCTAAATTGAAACCATTTTTATCGGCACCAGCAGTGAAGAGGGGTGCTCGAAAAGCTTCTGCAACCAAATATATTTTCAAGTACATAATAATCAATCCCTGGGAAAATGCGAGAGTAGCGAAATAAACTTACCTAATGTTGTTCTATTGTGTAAAATAAGGTAGCAGTGATATGAAAACAATGACAATAGACTAACGGAAAACATTATTGCAGCAAAGAATAAAAAAACTATATTAAACTTTCCCATTCCACTTAATTCACCTTTCCAAAACTGTATGCAATATTGTAATGTTGTCAAACTGACAAATATACAATATAATAATGCATAACCCAAAAATAATATAAAAAATTTATAATTGGAAAATGAAACACAATTGTTAACCCAAGGACAATGATGGTCCATTTTTAAAACACATGTACCACACACGCTGCAGTGATGTGCTCTG